GTGAACACAAATTAGTTAGCATAAATCAATTAAATGACGAAAAATTAGGTGTCTATTTACTTGTGACCTACTTAATACATACGTAATAGGTCGGGCCATGTTCCCGACCCGGATTGTACACTTTTAGTATATCAGTTTGTCCGGATGACCAAGATTTGTTTGTATTTAAGTTGTTAATTGTGCAAGAGCTACAAATAGGTTATCATGTCGATTGTGCTGGCTCTGAGAGTAGAGAAACATAACTGTTTATTATAGTACAAAATGAAAAAAAAAAACTTATAACCCGAAGCCAGCTTTCCTAGTATGTTAATACCAGTAACACCCACCAGGTTGGTAAAGCCAGCTTTCCTAATATGTTAATACCAATAACACCCACCAGGCTGGTAAAGCCAGCTTTCCTAATATGTTAGTACCAATAAACACACATCACACTAATGAAGCCAGCTTTCCTAATATGTTACTGTCATCAAGGCAATTTGTCAAAACATTATGCTAATAAATCCAGTCTATTCTAGTATCACAAAAGCTTTCGAAATCATTAGTAAGAACATTTATGAGACAAAAAATTATTTACTCTAAATTTTCTAGTCTCGTATCTTCATAATGGAATCCACAGATGATTCTGCTATTCAATTACATGAAACTAAGCATTTAACATTAAATATCCACAATGGAAGAAAATGGAATGTCATGACACACATTCTTTTAGAAACAGCAGTATATTTTACATAATTTGTGAGAGTGCAAGATTTTGGTTCATCAATGGCATAACACCATTTTGTTTCCAGCACTTTTGATATTAATATTGGATGTTTCAATGTCATCTTTACCTGAAAATGCTCAGAATTTAATGCACAAAAATATTTTTAATCTTATTAAAAAGAATGTAAGACATGCACATCTTCAAAATCTCATGCAAAATTTACCTCCAATTTCATTTATAATAATATAAATACAGAACATTGTGAATACTGTACTTGTAGTAATCAGAGCAGAGTTTCGTAAAAGTAATTATGACAATGGGTGGTATTGGTAATGATAGCTATTAAATTCAATTTTCAACTTTCATAGTTTCAAGTATCTTTAAACTGAGTTTAAACTCATAACAATGTGCCAATACTCAAGCGATACTGTGAAAGAGATATGACTCACATTATAACACTGTCTGTGGCACAAACGATTCGGAACAAACATAGTAAGCAAGAATGTTTAATTTCAAAAAAAAAAAAATAAGTGGGTTAACTTTATTTAAACTTAAAGTCGCCTAACCTACCTCTAAACCAAGTTACTGGTGCATCAACAAAATAGAAAACAGCATTTGCAAAAGACTGAATAATATTCCTTGGTGGATCTAAATCACCCATCCTTTTGGTATTTTACCCCGCTGCAATTTTTGCTTATTTTATAAGTTGAAATATGTTGCAAAATTAAACGATACAGAATTTGTAATTATTTAGATTTCGTTAACTTAGAAGTTCCACTTTCAGTTAACGTTGAAGGACTCACTGAAAGTGAAAAATTTATTGCGCCCTCTAAAATGTTTTTACACTAAAAACGTGAAATAATATAATATCTAAATTTTTAAATTAATTATTTATTTGAATAACGAGAAAACTTAAGGTAAAACTTTCATTTTTAAATTTCAATTGAAAGATATTTTCGAATGTTACAAAAATAGAGGGTGGGTCATAATATGATAGTAATATTTTCAGTTGTAATGAACTGAATAAAAAAAAACGTAGGTTCAAGAAGTCTTAATATAAAAATTATACATATATGTAATTTCATGTAATGTGCGCTCTCAATGTTTACCCCTGATCTTTCTAATACTTACTAGTTATTTATGATAATTTTCCATGCCTGTCTTTATAAATTGATCTGCTTAACTTTTTTTTACAGTCAAACTCCATGTGTCAACTTTATTTTACTTTAACAACACTTAAGTATAATTTTTCTAGGTCATTTGTAAAGCAAAACATTTACAACATCTTTTTGCACAACACTCTCGTTTCCAACTGTGTTGCACCGGAAATCAGGCAACTTAACAACAGTACATTGAAAAATATACAAAACCATCTCCTGGAAGTCCAAGTGACCTTCATGACGACACTCAACTCCCTTTATAAAATATATCACTCATTCAGTTACACCATTATTTCCAGTTTTTAAGTTTGTTTGTAATTAAGCATAAAGCTACACAATGGGCTATCGAAACCCGGATTATAGCGTTGTAAGTCCGCAGACATACCGCTGTGCTAGTGGGGGACCCAGTTTTTAAGCTAAGAATAACAACAACATTAAGTTGAAACAAACCAAGCTGGTGAGTTGAAATAGAATAATATAACAAATAATGAAACACGTGATAGAATAATATAACAAATAACGAAACACGTGATAGAATATTATAACAAATAATGAAACACGTGATATAATAATATAACAAATAACGAAACACATGATATAATAATATAACAAATAATGAAACACGTGATAGAATAATATAACAAATAACGAAACACGTGATAGAATAATATAACAAATAATGAAACACGTGATAGAATAATATAACAAATAATAAAACACGTGATATAATAATATAACAAATAACGAAACACGTGATGGAATAATATGACAAATAATGAAACACGTGACAGAATAATATAATAAATAGTGAAATACGTAATAGAAAAATATATATATCAAATAATGAAACACCTTCAGGGGCAAACTGAAGATGAAAAGTCCATCTTTCAAAAGCGCTACCAGCCTGGTGGGTGTTATTGGTATTAACATATTAGGAAAGCTGGCTTTACCAGCCTGGTGGGTGTTATTGGTATTAACATATTAGGAAAGCTGGCTTCATTAATGTAATGTGTGTTTACAGTCACAAACCGTTAACCTCTGTCTATCAGTGGGATGTCAAAGTGAAGATACAATCATAGTTGTAATCCTCTGTTTATCAATGTGATGTCAAAGTGAAGATACAATACAGTTGTAATCCTCTGTCTATCAATGTGATGTCAAAGTGAAGATACAATACAGTTGTAATCCTCTGTCTATCAATGTGATGTCAAAGTGAAGATAGAATCATAGTTGTAATCCTCTGTCTATCAATGTGATGTCAAAGTGAAGTTGCACTCACAATTGTAATCCTCTGTCTATCAGTGTGATGTCAAAGTGAAGATACAATCACAATTGTAATCCTCTGTTTATCAGTGGGATGTCAAAGTGAAGATACAATCACAGTTGTAATCCTCTGTCTATCAATGTGATGTCAAAGTGAAGATACCGCAGTTGTAATCCTCTGTCTATCAATGTGATGTCAAAGTGAAGATACCACAGTTGTAATCCTCTGTCTATCAGTGTGTCTTTATTCTCACTTTTCTATGAAACCTCTTTTTGTTTAGTATTCCTAAATGTACTTTAGGGTGAAAATTTCAGAAACACACTATTAGGTAACACATTTAATATTGTATAATTTAAATGTATCTTGTTTTGGCCATCCTTTGAAAGTGAAACTTTACATAAACTATAACTTGTTAACCACAATATTTCTGTAATGTTACTTTCATTGATAGTATTGATCAAAATGTTATATATATATATATTTCTCCATTTTATTTTAAGAATTATTTTATACTGGATTCAGGACTAGTCTAAGGTAGTTAGTATATGGATTTTTGGGTAGCCTAAGTTGATATATATGGATTTTTGACTAGCTTAAGTTAACAGATATGGATTTAGGACTATCCTAAGTTAATATATACGGATTTAGGACTAGCCTAAGGTAGTTAGTATATGGATTTTTGACTAGCTTAAGTTAATATATATGGATTTAAGTCTAGCCTAAGATAATATATATGGATTTAGGACTAGCCTAAGATAATATATATAGATTTAGGACTAGCCTAAGATAATATATATGGATTTAGGACTAGCCTAAGTTAATGTATATGGATTTAAGTCTAGCCTAAGATAATATATATGGATTTAAGTCTAGCCATTAGATAATATATATGGGTTTAGGACTAACCTAAGTTAATATATATGGATTTAGGTCTAGCCATTAGATAATATATATGGGTTTAGGACTAACCTAAGTTAATATATATGGATTTAG